ATAAAAAGTTAAAATATTAGATAATTAAAATATTAAGAATAATAATTAAAATTTTATAAAAAAATATTTAAATAATTTCACAAAAATTTTGAAATTTAAACTATTAAAATGTTTGCAATTTTCACATTTTTCTTATTTATTTTCCAAATATTGAGAATTGAGATCCAAACGGTAAAGTGATTTGATCCAACGGCAGAAGGCATCGGCAAACTGACAAATTCAAAAAGCCCACGTGGCGCGAGCCAAACTGACACCAATCTCCCTCCTTCACGTGCCCTTTCTTCTTCCAACCCGAAAAAAGAGAAGGGGTAAAATCGTCATCCCACCGCAACTCCCTTCCCACGTTCCCACACCGCGCAAAAAGCAAAGAAGCTCCCGAACAAAGACGTTGACGTCGCATCAGATTTCAAAGAATCAACCGGTCTCATCGGAGAGAGAACGAGCGCCACCGTCCCCCGCTAAAACTCCATCCTCCTCCTCCTCCTCCTCCTTCTCCTCCTCTATCTGTTGTGAACTTAGATCGCGGCGTCTTACATATCACCGGTTCAAACTGTTCCACCGAGCTTCTTTCCTTGCCGGTTCGTTTTTCCTTCTTTACCTTTTTAACTTTTTCTTTGAACTCGCATTCTCCTTTCTGTCCTCAGTTTCACCTTTATTCGAGACGTAAAGCTAAAAAACAGCGCTTCAGTGCCGTCGATTTCGCTTAATTTTTGCTCTCAGAAGCAACTGCTTCCAGTTCCGATGGAGTTAGCAGCAAGCTTCTGCTTCAGTGAAACCATTTCTTCATTTTTCTTTTCATTTTTAGTGAATTTGAAGAGTAAGTCGATGGCATGAGCCATGAAGATAAGATTTGTACCATGAATAGTTATCAATTTTGTTTTAGTCCCAGGAATTATTTAGTGCTAACGGTTCGAAACTTTGAGTCTGCGAAATTTTGGCCCTACATTAATTGTCTGCTTCTATTTCGACCATGTGACTCTGTTCTTACACTGGTCCGATTGCTTTGTCTTGTTTCAGACTGGGGGGCTCGAGTTCCGAGGTAGAACCGGATAGCAGATTCAGATCAGAGGAGGACGGAGAGATTGAACAAACGACGCCGTTTTGGAGTAAACACCGGTAACTCGGATGCAAAAGATAAACTCGCCGGGATTTTGGCGGTAAAATGATGCAATGTGGGTGGAGTTGACGCTTTTGTGTGTTATATTATCAATTTGTGTATGTTTGTAGTATTTGTTTTTGCTAAAATTTTTTCTTTTTTACCCGTAAATTTTGTTTGTGACTTTATGTAAAGTTGATAGACTTTTGTTGCTTCGTAATGAAGCATAGTTGGTGGGGACTTGGGAATGTTTTGTGGTTTGGCATGGCAGTTGATCGTTTTTGAAGGAAAGAATAGAAAGTGAAATTTTGGGTTTGTTTTCTATAAATTTTCTGTTAATTTTTAATTAAAGCTTTGGATTAAAGGTTAGGCTGAAAGCTTTTCATGTTCATTGTTAATTACCCCATCCCCATCCAACGTTTGTTGATGTTTGTGTTTTACTTTTGATTAACGAATGACACCCAGCCATGATTAGTTTCTTCTATCAAGTAATAAACCTTTTTTTCCTTTTCAAGTTGGTTGATTTAAACATTTTGATTACCTTCTTGTTGATGAATGCTGATATAAACATGTAATTATCCTTTTTACTCATGGTTCATTTTCTCCTGTTTGTTGAATATAACTATCATTGGCTTCTTGTTGCAGATATTGTTGTTACGAAGGAATGGACCTGATATATAAATCTCTGGCAACTGCAACAACACTGTCATTAACTGATGATCTTTCTTGCATTTTTGGGAAAGCAAGAGTGTGACTTGGAGCATTTGATCAGTTGGGTAATGGCTTTCCATTTTGAGAATTTGTAAATTATGGTTTTTGATTTTATTAGTGGTGGGGTAAAGAACAAAAGTGGACAGTGAAAAATGGGGGCAATTGGTGGGGAAGAGCTCAAGAAGTTGGAGAAGCTGCAAATGGCAAGTGCTCGTGAGGAGAGGATTCTTGTTTTGGTGAGGTTGAGGCCTTTGAGTGAGAAGGAAATTGCTACAAATGAAGTGGTGGATTGGGAGTGCATCAATGATAACAACATCCTATACCGTAATACCCTCCGGGAAGGATCAACATTTCCTTCTGCCTATACATTTGGTGAGCAAGTTTTCAGAACTAATTGTGTTTTATGTATAAATTATGTAAGAGGATCAGGTCTTCATGTTTCTGGTGTGATTTAGTCCATTTTGTTGTATAGACAACTAAAAACTGACTTCAGCCAACTTTCATTAGCAAAAATTTCTTAAATTTCTATATAAATTGCTTCATCTTTTCTTTCTCATTGTTGTAATGGAGGATAGATAGAGTATTTCGAGGTGACTGCTCAACAAAGCAAGTTTATGAGGAAGGAGCAAAGGAGATTGCTCTTTCTGTTGTCAGCGGTATTAATTGTAAGTATTGAACAGGCATTTTCCTTAACCTAGTTTTCATTGATGATTCTTGAAACTTTACTTATTATTTCTTCTTCTCCTCAGCAAGTATCTTTGCATATGGACAAACAAGCAGTGGGAAGACATACACTATGACTGGAATTACAGAGTATGCTGTGGCAGATATATTTGACTACATACATAAAGTAAGAAGGTTTAAATTTTCCAATAGTTCCACTTAATTTGATAAATATTCATACTTGACTTATAAATATCATTAATGCAACAGCATGAAGAGAGAGCATTTGCTGTGAAATTCTCAGCAATTGAGATCTACAATGAAGCTATTAGAGACCTTCTGAGCACAGATAATACACCACTTAGGCTGCGTGATGACCCTGAGGTGAATGCCATCATTCATCTTGATTCCATTTGTATAATTAGATGATTGTCCTAATAATTCCCATTTTTGTCAGAGAGGAACTATTGTGGAAAAAGTCACAGAGGAAACCCTGAGGGACTGGAAGCATTTACAGGAGCTTCTTTCTATCTGTGAAGGTAAAGAATGTTAAAGAGTTATGCAGTTATTAATGAAATTATACCTTTTTGCTCTTTTTTTATTGCATTTCATTCTTACAGCTCAAAGAAGGATAGGGGAAACCTACCTAAATGAGAAAAGCTCCCGGTCTCATCAAATAATTAGATTGGTATACTTCTTTCCAACTTCCTGTATCTTGTTTAAGCATCAAACTGCAAATGAGTATTGCTTTAGATTTCTTTTTGGCTTACCCTGCTTTGGATGTTAATTCTTGTAGACAATTGAGAGTTCTGCTCGTGAGTTTCTAGGCAAAGGGAATTCAACAACTCTTGCTGCCAGTGTGGTATGGAATGTTTAATTTGCGTTATGTATATGTATATATAATTTGCTTTAGCCTTTAGTGCGGTCCAATCATTTAAATTGCTTTATTTATATTTGGTTCCATTAAAGGATAGTTGCTTTGATTATGAGAATTTGATGAAAATGGTAATCATGTTAATTTGGTTTTTGAGTGCAGAATTTTGTTGATTTGGCTGGAAGTGAGCGTGCTTCTCAGTCATTATCTTCTGGTGCAAGGCTGAAAGAGGGTTGCCACATAAATAGAAGTTTACTGACTCTGTCGACTGTTGTTCGTAAACTAAGGTCGAATAGAATTCTCCTACTTTGCATTTACATATGCAATTCTTTCCAAGTTCTCTGAACGTAGTTGTATAATGGATTAATTTATAGCTGTTAGGCTGGTTGAGCATTTTCCTTTACACTTATTTTGGCCATTCACTATTTCAATTTTAACCTTTTTCTTTGATCGGCACTGTTTCAATTTTAACTGTTGTCTAGAATTTCTCACCTCATCTTCACATCCCTACACCCACAGCTGGCATCTTTTCACATTAGTTCTAACTTAAATTATTACCAAGATATTTTTGAGATTTAGTCATTTAGTTCCTTCAAACCCATTCTTTCTTAATCTTTTGATATTGTCTTAAGCAATGATTACCCTGAGATTTTCTTCAAATATAGAATATTGATGGTTAAGGAAAATGACAATTCATTTGCTAAAATAACTCCACCTACTGTTTTTACTTTCACTCTTTAAAATGCTGGGATTTCTCAATCAAAGGATTACCTTGGAAATTTCTTGGGAAAAATATATTTAACTAGGCCTATTGTCATTTGAAGTTCTCAACTATGCAGTGTCATGCTGTTATTAATGTCAGAGAGACACTATCTCCATTCCCTTGTTAAATTTGCTTCTATATTCTGCAACTCAAGAAATCCGAAGAAGCAATACCTTCTTTTCTCATAATTGCTCTGTGTTGGATGCAGCAAAGGAAGGAATGGACACATCAATTACAGAGACTCTAAGCTGACTCGCATCCTGCAACCTTGCTTAGGTGGCAATGCTAGAACTGCCATTATTTGTACTCTGAGTCCTGCTCGAGGTCACGTTGAACAAACTAGAAACACTCTTTTATTTGCTTGTTGTGCAAAAGAAGTTACTACAAAAGCGCAGGTCAATGTGGTCATGTCTGATAAAGCCTTAGTTAAGCATCTACAGAAAGAGTTAGCCAGATTGGAAAGTGAATTGAGAAGTCCTGCTCCTGTTTCCTCGAATTGTGATTATGCAGCACTACTAAGAAAGAAAGATGTGCAGATTCAAAAGGTTAAGATGTACATTTTAACTCGATTGCAAATATAGTTAGAGATATAATTATGCTCCACTGTGAGCCTATGAGCTTCAATCAAAGAGATATAGGGGTGTGGTGGGGAGGGGTTGGATTTAGACACATTTTTGCAAAAAGAAAAATTTTATTCTCTTCATACGATGACCTTTCACCCAGTATTTTACTTTCTCCCCAATTTTCAAGGATACCATATGCATTTGATTTTCAAAATTTCCCAGACTTTCTTTGAGGTCTTTGGTTTCACACTTCCAAATAAATTATTTACTTTTAAATTTGCCAAAGATCTCTAGTCTCCTTTGTCAGATGGCAGCCTTAATGCTTGCTCCAAAAGTAGATGGGTAAATAAATTTGACTTAAAACATAGCCTTGCCTGTCTTAAATTTATCTGGCATGGATTCTCTTTTTTTCTTTTTGGTGCAAAACAGGAAACTCAATGACAAGCATAGATGTGTACTTGGTGGTGAATGTTTTGGTATTGACATTATAAACCTGGGCTGATATAAGATTGGACGTGATCTCCATCTTGAGTGTAAAAATATTTTTCTGATTGTTGATTGTTGAGCTAAAAAACTAGTATTTTGCCCATTCTTATGACCAGAAAAGACCTGTTCCTGGTGTGGGCTTACATTGAGTGTTTAGAACCGTAGATCATAAAACTTTTTCTTTTTTGTATTATTTATCATTCATGTTATACATATTTGCTTGCATTGATTACACATATTACCCCACGCAGATGGAGAAGGAAATTCAAGAATTGACTCAGCAGCATGATCTTGCTCAAGCCCGGGTTAAGGATTTGCTAAGAATGATCGGACAGGATCAAGATTCAGAGCAATTGGTATATGTTGTTGCCTGATAAATGGATTAGCATTATATGCTATGCTGTTATTGCCCATTTAGAATAAGACACAGTGCACATATATGTTGTCTAGTGTCTAGTGTCTACAGAGGAGTGCTCCATAATCCTTATGATTGCAGGTTGTTGTTCTTAACTTGTTTTTCATAGTCCCGTTTAAGCTGCCAACTCTTTCTTTCCCATTTTTCTTCAGGGTAGGACCAGTCCTCTTCCTAATCAGCAAGTTGGAGATTCGTGGGAAGATGAATATTCAGCATTTGAGGATCTGGATGTTGGTTTTACAAAGTTAAATACAACCCATGGTTATGGCTCAGAGAGTGATGAGCATCAGAAGAGCCTTGAAGACCATTCTCTGTCTGATGGTACCTCCTCACCTGTGTCAATTGGAAACAAGTTTGCTAGATCCAATTGAGGCTAGAGTCTAGAGGAGACTCCAGATTGAATTGCAGAAGACCCTGATTTTTGTTTTTGTGTGTGCAGATGATCCTGATGATGACTGCAAGGATGTTCAGTGTATTGAAATGGAAAACTCTGAACATGAAGGAATTCCAGCATTGGCACCCGAGAATGGAGAAGTGAATCTTGTTCAAAATGGTTCTACTTATGATGTGTTAGAACAAAGGCTGCATGATGTACAGAGGACCGTTGATTCTCTTGTTAGGCCTTACCCGAATGGCTCATCCATGGTGGCAGCAGACTTGTCAAGTTCTAGAAGCCTGAGGTTAACTAGGAGCTGGAGCTGTAGGGCAGATGTCATGGCTGGTGAAAATGCTAGCACCCCACCCAGGTCGGAGAGAATTTTTCCCGGAAGACCTGAAGGCCATGGAAGGAAATTTCCTTCATTAAATTATAGCACCATTAATGGAATGTTGTCAAGGAATAACTCTCAGTCTTCTCTTGGGAGTGCTTCCCTAGATGACGTAGATAGAATCAAGAATTCAGCAGATGAAGATATAACCAGTATTCAAACTTTTGTTGCAGGACTGAAGAAGCAACTTGTTGATGTTCAGGTTACTATCCTCCTATTTACTTTCTTCTGCAGTGTTGTTTAACGGATTTTGTGTTGTGCAAAAGGGCCTGTGTGGATGAATTTTGATTTCTTTGAGGATTGTGTCCAGGGCACAGGGCTAGATTCCCATGATTTAGGGAAGAATGTGAAAGATGTAGGATTGGACCCCATGCATGAGTCACCAGGCACACTTTCAGATTGGCCTCTGGAGTTCGAGATGCAGCGGAGAACTATACTTGAACTTTGGCAAGCTTGCCATGTTTCACTGGTTCATAGAACTTATTTCTTCCTGCTCTTTAAAGGTGATCCCACGGATTCCATTTATATGGGGGTAGAGCTCAGGAGACTTTCCTTCCTCAAGGAAACATTTTCTCAGGGTAATAAGGCTGTACATGATGGTCAGACCCTCACACTTGCTTCAAGGTCTATCTCTGACTCCGTAAAATTTACTGTGCATGTGCATGTTCAAGGCTCATTTGGACTCATATCCTTATCAATTAGATTTGAACACGTGCGTCAAAGTCCATGTCCTTTGTTCTCGGGATGATTAAAATGAGGGAATGGAATGGACATTAGAATTCGCATAAAGCATTTCCACATTTTCTTATGACAAATACGTTATTATCTGCCTGTATTTTCTTTTGTCTTTCCCAGAATTTTCTTTCTGCTTACTTCAACCTGTTCCAATATATATTTATCTGGCTGTGTAGTGTGAGGGCTCTTCGCCATGAGAGAGAGACATTGAGCAAGCTGGTGCGGAGAAGATTTTCAGAAGAAGAGAGACTGCAACTGTACCAGAAGTGGGATATTGGGTTGAACTCAAAGCAAAGAAGGCTACAGTTAGTCAATCAGTTATGGACAGATATAAAGGACATGGACCACATCAAACAGAGTGCCACCATTGTTGCAAAGCTGATTAGGTTTGTAGAGCAGGGACAAGCCATCAAGGAAATGTTTGGCTTAAGCTTTACTCCCCCACGTCCAAGAAGAAGATCCTTTGGCTGGAAAAACAGCATGGCATCCCTTTTGTGAACTTGGTAATGCTCACATACATAGATGGTTTCTTAGGCCACTCAGCATTCGTTTTTGTGATGGCAATTATAACAGATTGCGATGATCGTAGTGTAGGGTAAAATGTATCTTCACCTGATCAGAGCAGAAGCTGAGTCAGGCTTGGTGAAATTGCTTCCCCGTTTCTCGTTTTGGGTGTTTATCTGATTCAATGGGCTCTGGTGTTGCTCATTTGATATCTGTTTTAATATTTACTATGTAGATGACATTGAACGGTGTGTGGTGCGGATTTGGAAATAGGGCTTTTCAGATTTTGTGTTATGGAATCCATTTATGATTGTTATCCCATTCTATGCAGTTCAATGAGTTTAGTAAAAAACAATAAAATATAAATTAAGAAAAATACGTACAAAAAAAGGTAAATTAAGTAAAGATGAGAATGGTATCCATCAGTTAGGACTTCCAAAAGTTTCTAGATGATTAATTTTAAAGAAATAGAGGGAAGTGAAAATTTCTTTGTTTAATCGAATTAAAATTTTATTTGAACATTTTAATTTGATTAGATAAAAAAGTTTACATTCTCTTTCTTCTAACTAAATATATATTAGATAAAAAAAAAAAAGGTTTCATTCTCTTCTTTCTAAGTCAACATATTTTATAAAAAATTTATTTTTGTACACTCAAAGAGATCCTGAAAAAAAAAAAAACTAAAATATCCTTGATCAAAGTAAACAGGAAAAGGTAAGTTTTTCTTAAATGATATAGTTATGATATTATGTAATATTTAAATTAAAATTTTTATTGTGTTATTATGTGATTGATTATTTTTATTTATTAGGTCATGTATGATATTTGTGTACTTTTATTTGTTTAATATTACATCATTATTTACAAACTTAATATCATTTTTATAAATTCTTATAAAAATAAAAAAAATTTAATAATTTACAATTTAAACTACATTAAATTACAAAAAAAAAAACTAATAAATGAAAGAGTTTTAACTTATTATTATCTTTCGTCATCTAATCATTACATCTTTTATTAAAAATATATATATATATTTTATTTTGATTGCATAATGAGATACAATAATCTCCATTTCTTTATCTCATTTTACTGCATATCATACTATTTGAATTTAAAATTTTTTATTTTCGACAAAAAAAAAAAAAAATAACCTAATGATATAGTTAAATAGTTGGTGTCTATTAAAAATATTAAAAATATACATTAATAAAAAATGAAACACCTTGCGTCGAAGGATGACTATTGAGACGGCGCCGTTTTAGCAATAGTGGCAGTTGGTTTGTCTAGATCAGTCAGCCTCTGCTCTCTTCCTCACCGGAACGCGAGAGGGAGTTTGGGAGAGAAGATTCTAGAGAAATGAGCGGAGTCTCGACGGCAGCGTACGTGGCCCGACGAGCAGCGCAGAAGGAGAGGGTTCGGATCCTCTACCGCCGCGCTCTCAAAGACACCCTCAACTGGGCCGTCCATCGCCACCTCTTCTATCAAGACGTACGCTCACATTATCTGCTTAATCGATTCTTTCTCCCGATTTCACCTTTCGATCATCTTACTCACTGACTCAAATGATTGATTCTTGATCTTCCGTTTTCAGGCATCGGACCTGCGCGAGAAATTCGATGCCAACAAGCATGTGGTTCGTTTCCTCATTTAAGTCAATTTTAATTGATTATTTCGATTAATTCAGTCATTGATTAGGTTTAGCTGGAGATTCATGGAATTTTGATTTTGTTTTACTATAATGAGCCACAGATTTTAGGGGTTTTTCATTTTGAAGTCCAGGTAATCAGATTAAGTGGACAGATAGGGGTGATTATAATGTCATTGAACTGATTAACATGCTTCATTAAGCCTATGGAGAGCCATACTGATGGTGACAATTTTGTTAGTAATGCTGTTCTAGGGACGATGTTTCGTTGTGCTGTATTCAAATATTTGGGTGTCCTTGTCTGTTTGGTGAAGTTACATTTTTTTCTTTGCTGGGTTATCAGGAAGATATTGACACAATTGACAGAATGATAGCTGAAGGTGAGGCGACCCATAATAAGTGGCGGCACCCGGATCCTTATATTGGTAAGTGTTGTGATAGAAGCTCTGTAGTTTCTGCTCTTCTTGGTGCTGAACTTGCTTTCTGTGCTTAGTGAGACAACTTAGGCTTGGATTAAGTGAATTTACACTTGTATAAAGGTGCAATGAAAGTTTATTGCCTGGTTGAGTGTGTGTTTTGCTATAAAGAGATGTGTAATTTATAAGAGAGTCAAATGCAAATGCATATTTAATGTAAATGTTAAGAATGGATTTAAGTGTTCCTTTTAAACTGTATGATTCTTTAGGAGTTCTTTGAATGCGATTTTTGTAAGAAAAGAACTAAAAGTTGAAAATAGATAATCAATTCATTCTCTTTTGGCCAATTCCTGATGATAGCAATGGATCTCAGGTAAAAAGGCAAAATATATTAGTCATGCGCCTTTTGTCTTGGAAAATATAGAGTGATTCCATTTTATTATTTATTTGCTACACTACTCAATTTGCTTCAAGGCATTCCCTTTCAATTGCCTGCATATAATTCTCTTTTCCAGTCAATAAAGGGTGGTTATTTTGTACATATTGTTTCTGAGTTCCTTCTATTTTCCTTCTTCCATCATTTTGATGTCTAAGCGAATAATGGACTCCATTTAGCTGTCAATTTCAAAATTAATCCCATCTTGTAAAGGTACTTAAAATGAGAGCATTCTGTATATTGTATAAAAATAAAGCAATAGATTTGCTTTCAAGAAGATGCATTTCTAGACCATGATGTTAAATTGTTTAAAAGGTTACAAACGTGCCTCACAACTGAGCTTAGAAAGAGTCAAAAGAAATTTGAAGTTATATCATCAGAATAAAGGGTTTGGCCTCATAGTTGGTGTTTGTTTGTGAATCTTTCTTCATATGATTAGAAGGCATTTGATCTTCCTTAGCAGTTAGCACCTCATATCTTATGGCTTGTTAGCGTCTCTCATCTCACCCATTCCTTTAGCAATATTCCAGATTCTTTAGCTCTTTGCTTAATTTGTTTGCGTTCTCTCATTAACTTCCAGGCAAGTTCATGTGCATAGACTTATAAATTGCATTTATGTTTGGATATATCATTTAACTTCTGCTAGCTCACAATTTTTTTTTTATCATTTGCAGTTCCTTGGGCTCCTGGTGGCTCCAAGTTTACTCGAAACCCGACTCCACCTGCTGGGGTAATATGTTACCTTTAATTTCATGGTGATCATTTTCCTATTCACTTCACTTGCTTCCTCATTTATTCCAATTTTCACAGGATGTAATCCATAATCCTGTGGTCTGTTGTGTATTTAAAATGCCTGTTATATATGACTTGTTCCTTTGCTAAATCTCATGTTTAAATGATGATCTTAATTTTGATGTCTATGTGATTCCATGTTCTGGCTGTTTTTTTTTTGGCCATCCATGTTCTGGCTGTTGGGCCTGAGAGAAGACCTATGCATTCTCCTAATGTTACTTATATTACTTATGTGTTATTTTCTTTTGTATCCTTTTATCTATAAAAATACCCAGGAGAATGTGTTGTTGGTTGATAGAATTAATGTTAGTTAGCTTTATTGTTTTTATTTAGTTTGAATCTTTCATTCTCGGTGCAGATTGAGATTGTGTATGACTATGGTCGAGAAGACAATGACTAGAGCCTGCATGTCTTTGGTGGCAACAAATAAAGGTTGGTAATATAATTAGTCATTTAGATTCAGCTTACTGATTGCATAATTTCCTTTGTAAATTTTATGCAACTGGGCAAGCATTTTTCTTGTTTCATTTTGTCTTAAGAATGTCAATAAATGATTGCTGGGGTTTATTGGATGTGGTATCGAGTTTTATTTGGTTGCTGTTGCTTGTCAATTTGGATGAAAAACGTGTTATAAAGGCATAGCAAGTACAGACTCTGTTATTTCATCTGGAGTGTTTTTGCTTAGCATTTTATATTCTTTTATTTTGTTTTACTTCGTGATAAAATTCCAGGCAGTGACCAAAGAATTTTCTTTCCATCTCCATGAATTGTCTTTTGATACTGATTTTTGCCTTCCTATCCTTGCAGAATGAGATGATGCATGAAGATGATCAACCATTTCATGATCAAGACAACGCATTGTTTGTGTTAAATTATGTGAAGACTAAAAACCAAAGAAAAGACTCAATCTAGCTGTATCTCCTTTTTAACTTTAGAAGAGTCTCATGTTTCAATGCCTGCTTTTATCTTTCGACAGAGGCTCATTTTTTGTTTTCAAGATTATGTTACAGCTTAAAAGTTTCAAGTGCTTTTAAGTTCAATGAATAATGAATGATATCTTTTAAGTTGCAACACATTTGATCTTAGAGAGGTGTGGAAGATGACAATTTTTTCCGGACAAACCGTACAATTGCCGGAGAGCCCAGCTCTAGGTGCCTAACCTCTTAACTCTTCACCATAACGACAAGCAAACATGTACAAAACTACAACAACTAAATCTAATCCTACTTGGCAGCCACGTCAACATCCAGGTCTCTCAAGCCAACCTCATTTTTAAGGAAAATAAAGGTATGATATGCAAACAAATTTTTTTACGACTTTTACATGTTATGATAATAAAGTTAAAAAAGTTAATAATTAAATAATATATAAAATTATATAAAAAATTATACAAAAAATTATCTTTCAATCATTTTTTATTTTTTCACGTATCATTTGTTTATTTGAGAAATGATTTTGAGATAATTTTTTTATATTATTTTTTAGTAGAATCTAACATATCATTTAAATGATTATTATTTTTTATTTATATGATACTTATGATATTAAATATAACTATTCATTTAATTATATGTAAAAATTATATCAAAAATTGATATAAAAAAATTATTCTTATAAGATGGTCTTTATTCCTCTGGTTCTAATGGCCTTAGAAGAGTTGAGAAGTTAAGATCGGTTCATAACTGGCCCAACTGCAAGCGTCATCGAGTATGGCCTAAAATAGACAAACATGAATCTGTTCAATTCCGTTTGTCTTCTTCATTCCCGTGCTCGAATCAATAATTTAGGTTAAATTTTCTCATTTCATGCATGCAAAAGGAAGGATGAATATTTGAATTCCGAACATTTTAAATCTGGTGGGTCACAACATATCAATGAAGGCAGAGATTATTCTGCATTTCTCAGGATTTTGGAGTACAACATGATTTCACCATCGACGTTAATTTGCGTTCACCTTCGATTCACCCCTTCTCATCGCCATCACCATCACAAAATTCTTCCTTCTCCGTATTGAAAACGACAATTTTTCACAGCATTACCGCTGGCATTAACTCCCCTGGTGAAGTTCCATGGAAAGCAATACAAATTCGGACCCAGAAATCTGGTACGTTTCCCTCCCCGAGGCTCGCTCATCCATCAACATTTCACCAACGTTTTCTTATCTTACAGGGACATGGATGATGAGATATCCAGGGTAAAGGCAAAGAAGATGAAGAGAAAAAAGTCCATACCTGCATTATCATTGCGCATGGCTGGTTCTCTGGTTACAATGATGGTGTTATTATGGAGCATTCGCTGTGGATTCAGGCTGGCAATGGAACCCTCGAGATACACTGCCTATGCTGCCCGGAGTTTCCATATCGGTGTCACCACCATGTCCTTTGGTTTCCTGTTTCTAATAGTCGGGCTCTCCATACTAGCAGACCTGTTCCTGAATATATCAGAACAGTTGCAGGAACCACCTGGAGCCCCACAAGGTAACAAGAATTCTAACCTTCATTCACATACTTTTGTCCTTCAAAAATTACTAGCTTCTTGAGATTGCCATGCATGATAGCAGCGAAGGAGACGAGGACAATGAGCAAAGCTATAGTTAGAGCTTTTGTGACCGTGACTGCAACGCTCATGCTCTTGCCAGCAATTTACACAGGATTCCGGATCACAACTGAATCAAGAGGAGATATCAAGCATCTTCTCCTGACAGTCTCCATAGGAGTTACCACTATTACATTTGGTTTCATTTATTTCATCATAGGACTCGCCATTGTTCTGGAGCTAGCATTAGATTTATTGAGCCATTTCCAGAAGAAGAAAAAAGAACCGACTTCCCCACAGATGTAATCTAAATGTTTTAGTTTATTGGTTGATAATAATATTGTCAATTGCCACACATTAACACAAAATATTCTCTGTTCCATTTTAGACACACCGAGTGCAATGCGATTCCTTATGAAAACAGACAAATCTATATGTACAGATGGACTTGATAGTGTAAAATGAAACTGAAATCACTAGTTCATCAAGTTTATTGCAGAATAAACAAACACATAAATACCACACATGAACCTCAGCTGATACTTCTCATTACCAGCATGGACAAAAAGCATCATTTCCAGTATTTGCATGCCTGTTGCCACCACATCTGATGTTAAATAGTCAGCCAAAACTACGAAACTTGCAGCACTTCAAACTGCATCTTCAAGTTTTCATGGTGGCTATTTGTGCTTTAGTCGAAAACTGACAAACCACAAAAGCTATTTTTCTTTCGTTTTCCAATTTCCATCTGCACGCACCAAGGTCCCTGTAACTCAATTCATCCAATCCCAAAAGGCTTGTTCCCGGTTTGCACCTCTGAACCCATGTTCAAGTATGAGGTGGGCATTACTAAAAGTTCAGTATTCCTGTCACAGTTTTCTTCTCGGCGCACAAAGTCCCCAGAACTCAATGCATCCAATCCAAATTCTATCTATCAGATCTTGTTAATGATCCGTTCTACATCTTAATCTTAGAAGTACTCATAAATATGCATCCATATCAAGAAATGGTGGTAACTACAGATAGCAGCTTCTCTCTTCCACCAAGATGTATGCTCCTATGTCCTAACTCATAACCCAAAAATTTTTCCTTTTGAATTGGGTAACTAGCCTGCACTTAAACCCTAGGGGCATAAGCAAATGCTATTCATCACAGAGTCACATAAATTGAACATTTTCCAACCCCGAAATTTTCAAACTTGAAAAACAAACATTGGAAAAATGGATAATTTCTCATTATAAGAAATCAGAAATTCATAATCAATCCAAAATCCGTAAGAAATGTACAAGCACTACTGAACAAGCATAAAACCTAGCTCCATAACTAGAACTATTACATAATTATCATCAAAATCATGAAACTTAGATGAGTCTGAACGGAAGAGGCCAAGGAGTTGACCTGGGAACCTCGACCTTGTCCTTGATGCGCTGGATCATCTGCTTCTTCTTCGGCCTCGCGTTTCCATAAGAGCCCTTGAATCTCTTCCCCCTCTTGGTCTTTTTATCACCCCTGCCGCACAGGATTGGCGCTCCCAACACCGCACTTGTTGACGAAGGTATTGAAGGCGGCCGCTGCGTCGCCGTGGCCATCATCCTCCGAGCCACCACCGCGCACCACTGCATCATCGCCATTGTCTCGTCCGCTGCTCTCCACACTCCACACCCCACTACACGCTCAGCCCACGGTAGCAGATGGCAGAATAGAAAGCCTTTAAGACTCGAACAATTAGGGGCTTTTCTTGGCCCAATTTAAAACCGCAATTTGTTAGCCCAAAGAGTTTATCAGCCAGGCCCAATTAATTTTCTCCGTTGTTGCAATTTCTGTCATCTTCTCCCCCATCTGGTGCATCCCCACAAAACGGGTGATGCAGAATGCATTTTTAAGGTTTTGGTGGCTGTGGCTCCAAATGAAACACGTCGTGCTTTGAGGAAGCTGGTGTTTTTCATCTCCTTTCATCTTCTTTGCTCTTACCCAAGAAGGCTAAGAATTGGGAGAGTTTTGTTTCTTGCAAAAACCCCATAAAGCATGAAGCTTTCTTGCACACCCAGTGCTCTATCATGGACCCAGTTCGTTTTTCCATCTTTTCAGAGCCCTCAGTCTTTCTCTGTGAGTTTTAAGCGATCCAAATTTACTCTTCTTTTACTTCTGTGATTCACTGGTTTTGGTTTTCTCTTCATCTTTGATTGTGGAGTGTTAATGTGCTTTTTCTTGTTCTTTGGTTGTTCTATAGATGGGTGAGACTAAGAGATTCAGGGTTTGGTGTGTTTCTAATCAGACGCAGAAGGTGTGTTCTTCAAAAGTTTATAATTTACACTCAAATTTAGTTAACTACTAGTTAGGCATTTCAAATACATCCCCAATTGGGGCCTTATTCTAATGTACTAATCAATGCATTGGACACTTCAATCATATCTAGTTTAATCATTTTCTATAATTACAGTTCAGTTTCTTATGTTTTGGAGGGAAAAATGTGGTTGTCGTAGTCAACAAGTTCTACTAATTCTGAATCCCCATAATTACACCAGACCTCGGTTCTTTCGAGATTTTAACTCTCTGCAGGTTGTTGTAGGAAAATCAGATGATAGTATCAGTGACAGGAGCTACAGGTTTTATAGGCAGAAGATTGGTGCAAAGGCTCCATGCAGGTTTTCTCCCTGTCTAGTCATAATCAAATCCTTCATCATGATTTCTTTGTGATTATAAATTATAATACTGAAAGAAGTTAACCTAAATACATGTCTTCAGCTGATTTTACTTTAGACTCGTTACTCTCATGTGAGCATATTTGAAATTTTCCTGGGTTGTATTAGTATGACACAGCAACCATTCCAAGTTGTGGCTCGGGGGTCGTGCATTGCTGAGTGATGCTCCTTTTTTGTTGCCTTAGATTTTCCAAGAAAATCTTTGAGCATATGCATTCTCAAGTAAAACATGGCTTGTGATAGTTTATGTTTGAAGCCTGAACAAAACAATTAAATGTTTGTGGGTGCACCCAACAGACCATATGTAACCTTAATCTACTTATAAGTCTGAAGAGCTCATCTAAATCTTCTACCTTGGAATGCAGATGATCATTCTGTTCGTGTCTTAACACGCTTGAGATCTAAAGCAGAGTTAATATTTCCGGGTAAGAAGGTAATGAGTACTTTTGTTTGCTGCAAATTGTTTTCAGCATGATTGGTTACTAAAAACAAACATAAAAGGGTGCTTTAACTTTAAGAGTCTGATATTGATGTACATAACCCTATCTCACACACATGCTCATGCATGTACAAACGTAGCTGCATAAGCCCAATTTTAAATCCATAATATACAATATTCCCCTTATTTTTTTTACTTAGTTCTTCTTTCATTGGCCTGTGCAGTCAAGGATTTTCCAGGTGTCATAATTGCCGAGGAGGCAGAGTGGAAAGATTGCATTCAAGGTTCAAATGCTGTTGTTAATTTGGCAGGAATGCCCATTAGCACAAGATGGTCTGCTGAGGTTTGTTGTGGAGGATTTCTCCTTCTAGGCTACCCTCTATTTTGCTAGCTAGGGATAATTTACCATTATATGGTTGTGTTGGCTTGTACTGCTTGAGAGCCAAACTATGAGTTTTGCATTGGCATGCCTGTGTGGATTTCTTGGTTTCCAGCTGGTTATGAGTGATTGAGTTCTACTATGGTGATAATTTTTTCCATGAAGATGTAATAAATTCAGGCTGCAATGGGGTTGGTTTGGTCAATTGAAACTCTGTTTTGTTTGGGTGCATGTACAAATGTACTTGTTTTATTTAGGAGGTTTATTGTAACAGAGCAGATGTGAGTTTTCTATCAGTATTTAAATGAGCACCATTACCATTTCATTCAATTATGTCTCCTGGTAAAGTGGACAAGTAAGCCACTTCCCATATTGGATACTGCAACTTGCAACCCATCCTACAGCTGGATACATCTATTATTATTATTATTATTTTCCATTGTAGGTTAAAAAGGAGATTAAGCAAAGCAGGATCAGAGTCACCTCAAAGGTTTGCATCTATTCCTCCCAGCCCCCAGCCCTTCCTTTTGCATTGCCAATTGGCTGGAACAGTAGAAAGATCTTTTCCTTTCCTTTATAAAAAATATTAATACTAATTTTGAAGCATGTTATGCAATTTTTACTTTCTGCCTCCTAATGAATTGTAACTGATTATGAAGGTTGTAGATTTGATAAATAATTCACCAGAAGGAGCTCGGCCTACTGTTTTGGTTAGTGCAACAGCTGTTGGTTACTACGGTTCGTCTCTAATGCAATTCCCTACCTCTATTTTCTTCAATAACACATGAGACATTCATCTATTTGGCTAAGGAGAGATTATGACCGGTGCTTAGAAGTGCTGGTCCATTTGTCCATTTCTTGTCCAAGAATTGATCCATGACTTGCCAATGACAAATTGCAAATTTTGACCTGATTTGGCTTCTATAGGGTGTTATTCTTAATTCATTATCAGTTTCCTTTTTCCTGCTTGCTCAGGCACTAGTGAAACACAAGTTTTTGATGAGAGCAGTCCATCAGGAAATGATTATTTGGCTGAGGTAAGAAAACAAAGTAATGATTTTAGCATTGTTGTTTTATGTGACTTTTAATTTGAATGAAAAGGTTTGAAAGCAATATCTTGGTTTGACCAATTTTTTTCCTACATTTCAATACTGTATATCTCTTCAGGTTTGCAGGGAATGGGAGGCAACAGCAGTTAAAGTAAATAAGGATGTCAGATTAGTACTCATACGCAATGGAGTGGTTCTTGGTAAAGAAGGCGGTGCTTTAGGTATGATCAAGGCTATCTCTCTTCCTCTATGTGTGAGCCCATTTATCTAGATTTGTTTGACTTATAAACAAAATAATGAAATGATTTTCAAGTCTTTATCAGGTCTAACAAGAATTGTGAAAATAGATCAGGAGGGAAGGGGGATCAAAGTTGTAGATATTCAGTGTCATGATTTATAACTTTCAAAAAATTATATTTAGATGCTATCTGCAGTCTTACATTTTTGAGCTCCTACAGCTAAAATGATCCCAGTCTTCATGATGTTTGCTGGAGGACCTTTGGGCTCTGGACGGCAATGGTACGTTACGACACTTTGTCTGAAAGAGAATACTTCTTCTTAATCACTTCTCCA